GATTTCTATTCGGTTATATTTTGAAGTGGAAATTGACTTGTGTACAAAGAAGCAATGTTTTGTGTTTGGGTACTCTTTTACAGGTATGATCATAAAAATTATAATAAAGTGCCATTAGGATTTTTTTAATGATGTATTCTACTGGTTTACTACACATCATCCAGTTTGAAGATGTATCAAAGAATGGAAATTCTCAACATAATAGTCATTTCAATGGTATGTGCCATTATGCATCAAACTCGGCTGATCAAATTATACAACAAGCCAAAATTATTGATCAATCACATGGTTCTAACATATTTAAAGAAAAATTTTCAGGTTCCCATAACATTATATATAATGAAATGGAATTAGATTTTATGAAAAAAATGACAGCAATATATCTGTTGGAACTTTGGACTGATGTATATAATAGTATTGGAAAGTAGTTATTGATACATCAGGTAAATATAAAATTCCATATAAGCTTCCAACATTAGATACCGTTGTTGATATCAAAATGCTCCCATTAGCTTGAAGTAGTTCTTTCCCTCCAAATATTGTGATTTAGATGGTCATGAACTATCTCATGCTTATGGTTGTATTTTAGCATGTGGGAATTCATATCATTATGAATGTTTTTTATTAATCTTTCAAGTCAATGCCATTACTGCAATAATTTACCAACAAAAGGGATTATTGGTAATAGCAATAGTTTTCAAAATAGTGTTAATTCTTTGATGATTTGGACTTGGAAGAAAATGATGAAAGGGAAGATAACATAATTTAAACTGGTATTTCTTTAGGCCTAATATAGATTCAATTCTAATAATCATTTATTATCATTTAAAACTTTAGTAGTTGTACTTTATTATTATTATATATAGCCAATTTTACTATATATTCATTTTTTTATTAACGATAAAAAATTACAAAAATTTTATTTTGGCGATGATCGTCATTTTACACAAAATAAAATAAGCCAATCACAGAAAAGTCCACTGCGTTGGCTTTTTCATCAACTTGGGATTTAAATTTAAAATTTCAATATTAGGACTTTGGCTTTATTTTTAAAATATTTTGTACATTGGTCTTTCTGTAAGCTTTATTATGTTCTTGATTACCACATAATATGCAAGGACCAAAATTTTTTCTTTTTGCATTTCTGTACATTTTTATTAACAATGAAATAAACAAAAGATGAGACTTATTTAATTTTTGAATATGACAAAATAAATAAAATTTAGGGTACTAATAAAGGTCAAAGCTCAATCTGAACTGAGTAAACTCTCTTGATCTGAAAGTAAAATAAAAATGTAATTATTTGAAATTAGTGTATGTGATGTCACTTTTCTAAGTGGTATTTTCTGATTTTACAATCAGGGCTGGCCGCGTAACTCAAATAAGCACTTGGCTAAACTGACTAAACTATTTAGTCATATTTTAAGTCAAGTTAGTCAAGTTTAGTCAAGATAATTATTACTAAATTAGGGTTTTAACCCCCTTACGCCTCCAGCCCTGTTTATAATACTCTTCACATATAAATTATCTGAAATATCTATTAAATGTGTGTAATATCCATAAAAAAATTTTTAATTAAAATATATTATAAATTAATAATGGTCAAACCTCGATAAGCCGAACTGCTATAAACCAATTGGTTAACAAAAACATAATTAAATTGTCTTGTTAAGCCGAATTTAATATAATTTGATAAACTGAACTTAAGATTTGATGTTGATGATTATAAACCAATTTTAAAATTCGTCTTATAATGATAAATTCAGTTTATAATTACCTTAAAATAAATAACTGCACATGAATAACATGAATAGTAATGATACTAATGAACAATGATGATAAATTAAATAACAACAATACTCCACTTTTAAAATAATAATATATAGATGGCGGAAATTTGTTTTTGTTACACGAACTGGTTCATACATTTTCCCATACTTTTTTTTGCATTCTGTTTGAGTAAGTTTGTTTGATCAAAAAATTTCTAATAATACCCCGATTGCTGCGCCACACGTGCAAATTCCCAATTTTGTAATTCGATCATAATTTTTTTTATTAACTATTGCATTTTTGAATGATTTATTTATACATATAATATTAAATAACTATTTACATTATTATCATTCTATACATATAATATAGATAACCAATCTATATTTGTTTGTTCTCTAAATTATACAAGTATTTTAAAAAAAACTTGATGTATTCTCTCTATATATTATGTGTCAATAAATAAATGTCAGATTATATATACTGTTATTATAGCTATCCAACATTTAATAAAAAATTTAATAAAACCAAAAAAGTCATAGTCTGATCTTACCGTCAAATTTAAAAATAATTTGTGTATTAATCTAAATTTAGCAATGATCCATTAATAAAATATATGTACTAAAAAAGAATAGAACTCTCTACAACAAAAAGAAAGACCTATTCTATCAAATAATATCACGCGTAACAAATAATTAATTTTATGTGACAGGAAAGTAGTATATTTTAAGCAAAATTTGATAAAATAGTCATCATCATCTTTACTGATATATATATATATATATATATATGGGGATTCCTTGAAGATTTTTGTAAATTTTTTATTAATGATTCTGTAGCATTTAAGGGATCCTTAAGCTCAAAACATTATTGATGTTCTTTTCAGTTAATTGTAAGCAATTCATAATAATCCGGTGCTTGTCAATTAATTAATTTATAAATTCACTATACGTAGAAAACTTTGGCGAATATGTAAGCACATTTAACGGTACCAAGATAACTGTAAATAAATAAAGATGGCTCTTTTACAAAGTTCAAGGTTTCTATAAAGTTCATTTTATTACTGATGACCGATTTATTTCAGTTGTTTACAATTGATTATTTACAAACAGCTTGTTTAACGCGCACACACACATAAGAAAAGGAAACCTACGTGAAAAAAAAGATCAGATCAAAAGATCAAGGTTTATTTTCCAACTCTGCCAAATTTCTCATCTTTTACTCATCAGGACATTGTATGGCTTTTTTCAAGATCGGTTCCTTAAATTTCATTGTCTTGATTTGGTATTCATCATGAATATAGAGACAAGTACGCTCTCAGAAAAAGATAAGAAAAAAATACATGAAGATTTTTTAATTTATACGATTTGCAAAAAAAGATCACAAAGTTAATTTGTAACCAAATTTAGCAAAAATAAAGTGTTTGAATACAATGAACGGAAGGGTTTGTAAAACTAAAGAAAGTTTAATATACATATATATAATAGCAGTTTTTCACTTATTTGTATTCCTTTAGTCAACTTCTCATAGTAATCTGAGTGCAGCAGACTTTTTATCCATTTTTATCTTAACGTTAAAAAGGATCAAATAAAAATTCCTAAACTTAATAAGAGCCCACAAGATCAGATTGAGATCATAATTGATTTATAATAAAACTACAAAGCGAATAAAAATATATGCGGTATAAGGTTATATAGGTACATGAAAAGTAATAATTATAATGGATGTGATTGTGGTTAAGAATGGTTGACGAAATACTTTGCAAAGCAGGATGTAATTATTTGTCAAATCGTATCGTTATTAATTTCTTGATCAGTAGAGATTCCGCGTAACAAAAAAAAAATTCATAAATTTAAATAGCATTTTGAAAAATTGCCAGGCAGAGTGATTGGGACTCAAGGAAACCGTGCTAAATATAAATAATGTAATTATGAATTATGTGAAATTACTTCAAACATTTTAAAAAATGTAAGATGTCTTTTACAATCATTTGGGGTTTTAGAATAAATGGCATTAATGATAGTAATTCATTATCATCATCTCATAGCACCAGCATCAACGATGACGATGATGTAATGAATTGTAACTTTTGTTTGTTACGCTGCGTGAAATTTAAATCAAAAAATTAAAAATTTGATTGGTGTGTAATGTTACATCCGGGCATTGCATTGAATTTTCAACACTGGACCTGAAACTACAGCTAAATATTTATTTATTTATTTATATAGTTCCACTGTGTTTTTAATATAACATGTATAATATTAATTGATTACAATATAAAATAATAAAATTAAATATATTAATCATTTTTATAATTACACCATGTATTAAAACCATATTAAAACCATTATTAAAACCATATTTTATGATGATGAGATCTGATTCATTCCTGTGTGAATATTTTAAAAATTTAAATGGTTACCTCAAGCAATCGTTGATAACAGAAGTGGTTGAGATGATGTAAAGTAATATGGAAAAATAAATCTACCAGATGGGTTAATAGAAGAACCAAATAGTATTTATATATATATATGGTTTTACTCTCTTTAAGAAACACACGTGAATTTTCTTCAATCGTTGTATAAAAATAGTAATGATTGTTGTAGGAGATATCGTAAACAAAGATGACAGATGGCCAACAATTATAATTGAGAAAGAAAGTCCTTTGTGGAAAAAAAAATAAAAACTCTTATGTTTATGAGAAACAATAATAAATTACAACAACTTTAAAATATGATCAATTACATTGAGTTAGTTGTCAACGCTACTGCATCAAGGGGTTTTACATGTTTGTTTATTCACGTTTTTTACTTTATCCAATCTGACCTAATATACCTAATATGCTAGTACTGATTGATCGATCATCAGGAAATTTTCCCCGCCGCAATAAATTTTAATATATGTAAAGTTGTAATATTTGCATAAAAAATTATGTAATATTTACACTTGATGTAATAATTGCATAATTTTTGTATTTGAAAAAATTTCCTGATGATTGTATTTATCGATCCATCTTTTTTTTTTCAAAAAATCTTCTCACGAATTTACTTATAAATACCTCTCGAAAACTTTGATTATAAAATTATAAAATTTAAAAAAAAAAAATGACTCGAAAAAAATAAGAATTAAAAAAGAAAAAGAAGCATTGTAAGTGTTATCAGAACACGATTGTTTTTTTACAATTTTTTACAAGCCATTAGTTAATTAATTATGAACTGTTTTTTATTTAATTAGATTTTCGACTCAACAATTACTTCCACCGGAAGTATTAAAAGAAATATTCGAGTATAACGATTACTCAACGTTATACTTGTATCAATCAACTGTTCATCATTAAAAAATATTGATGGTGAACTTTCTGATAATTTCAAAAACTCATTAAATATACACTCGGGATCGATAACAAAATTTACTACACACAAAGCACACAGAATCAACTATATATTATTACCAAACATGTATAAATTAAAAGATTTAAACATTATCTCATATCAACATATGAAATATTTATCAAATATTTCGTTGCTGTCAACACGTTTGGAATCAGTAACGTTATATGTTTACAATCAACCTTTTCATAATTTGTAATTTTTTAATATAATTTAAATATCCAATATTAAAAAAAATCAAAAAAAAATTTAATTTTAACAATGTATTGTAATAATGAATTTTCAATATATTCAAAATTAAATGTCAGTAGTTAGAGAGAAAGTAAATTTATTTTTTATGATTATATGATGATGGTGGTGGTAACTATAAATAATAAATAAACATTCGTTACTCTAGTTGCAAAACAAAAGAATTGATTTTTTATTTTTGTTAACTATTTTTACTTTCGTCAAATCGTCAAAATGCCTCTTGGTGAGAAACTACTTTAGTCAGCACTTTCGTCATGCAACATTAGGTAAGAGTGTAAGAGATATCTAAACATCCTAAAAAGCACAGTTCAAGACACCATTTCTCATTATAAAAATCTAGAAATGTTAAAAGTGCACCAAGAAGTGGTAGACCAAAAGCTTTAGATGAACTTGAACAAAACGAATTAAAACAAACATGATCCAGAAAAAATTGCGGAAGAAAACTATCTTGTGGTTTCGACTAAAACAATTTGTAGGAGCTTGCATAGCCTTGGAATTTTCTCCAGGGTTGCTGCTGTAAAACCACGTGTGACAGAAAAACAGCGAGAAAATCGAATGAAGTGGTGTTTAAGCAGGAGAAGATGAGCGTTGCTCAATGGGGGAAAGATAATATGGAGTGATGAGTCTCGCTTTACAATTTTTAGAAGCAATGGTTCTCATCATGTTTAGTGTTCAGTCGGTGAACGGTGTAGTGCATGCCACTATAACCCATCGAGTGCTGCGCAAAATGTTTCAAAATTCACAAAAAAAAAATTATTAATTTGATGTTAAAAAAATTAGAGGTAACATGGCACAATTAAAGATATCGATCAAAAATAAAATATTATTAGTTTAATTCATCTATTTTATCTATCACATTGTCTGGAATCCTTTTATGTGACTTATATTTTTTTACAATATATTCGGCCTGTAGTACTG